AAATTCATTTTATGGAAAGCTAGTATTAATAGAATAGAACATTTTAAGAAATATGTGATAAATTTAAAATACCAACAGATAAGGAATTATTGGAAATAATATATAAGGATATATATTCATGTGGAAATATATGCTAACTAGCCTATTCTTTAATTCATTGACATTACTATTCTTACCATTCTCAATGTATATGATAATTAAGTATTTTAAAATACACGAGCATTATTCAAAAATGTAAAATAGCCTATGAGAAAACTCTCTCAACTCTAAATTCCTGGTGATTTATCGTTAGAATAAGAAAAGCAAATCATTCCCATCCAGTCCCTGTTGACTCATAGCAACCCCATAGGACAGGGTAGAACTGCCTCCATTGGTTTCTTGGATCGCGTGAGTAGAAAACCCCATTGTTCTCTCGAAGAACAGCTGTTGGTTTCAAATGTCTGGTGGTTTCAAACTGCTGACCCTATCGTTGGCAGCCCAACTCATGGCCCATTAAGCTCCCAGGAGTCATATAGTATAAGTATAGGGGCAGTGGTGGGGTAAGGACATGGGTAGGGGTAGAGTAAGGGTAGGGGAAAGGCTAAGGGAAGCAGTAGGGGTGGAGGTAGAGGTAGAGGTAGATACATTTAGATGGTATATTATCAAGCAATTTGAATAGTCTTTTATGATCTGGAGGAATCTGGTTAACTGACCAATTTTTTGGACAAAAATTCTAAAAGACTTACTGGTTACAGTATTAGCATTCTCAAATAATTTTCATGGTGCTCCTGGAGGGTGGAGATTTAGCTAGCTAACCAGCTATCCTCACACATATACAAATACTTCATGTGCATTTCTATATAGCTTATGTTTGGGAGAGAGGAAGAGATCCACAGAGGTGTTTTGTTATTAGCTACTATTCAGTCCTGTATAATGGAATGTTCCTTGGCCCTATGCCATCTTCAAGGTCAATTGTGGATCATACCATTGTGATCGATGGAGCTTTCAGCAGCTGTTTTTCATAAGGAGGTTGCAAAACTTCTCTTCCTAGTCCATCTTAGTCTGGAAGCTCTGCTAAAACCTTTTCAGCTTCACAGAAGCATGCCAGGATGCTCCAAGACATACAGGATCACTGAACATGAGGTGCATTGGTTAGAAAAACTAATTTATTACAGTTCATAAAGAAATGGTGATATGGTTCATTTAGGGATTTTATTTACTATTTAGTCACTACTCTGTACCCTTAGAAAAACAGTTTAACCAAGCAGTATATAGCTATATACAAACACAATTATTAGCATCTGATGCACACAGAAGCAACAATGAGAGAAAGACATAGCATGGTAGGATAATATATCCACATTTGAACATATGAGTTAATTCATAAGCAAGTTAATGCAATCAGTAGATGATATTAAACCCTCAGAAGGTTATCCGACTTCTTTGCCCATTGATTGAGTGTAAAATATGTTGGCAAGACATTCTTTCCATATTTTATTTTCTGTCCATAAGATCTAGTTAATTACTAATCAATCTTTAGCTACAAAAACTCTGTAGAAAATCCCAGCAAATTGATCATTTTCACTTAAGAAAATGAAAAGTATCTACATTCTCTTAGTAGGAGGAAAACATAATGGTTTCTAACATATCTGAAAGTTTGATGATCAGGGCTATTGCATTTTCCCGCCCACAACTTTATTTAAAGGAAAGTCAGAAAGACAATAGTATTTGTCAGAGATGCTCTGTGATTGCTTCCACCTTTCAAAATACCAGATATTTCAGAGCTATGACCTTGTTATACCTGACTGTATGCATCACCCCTTTGATTGTTTAATTGAAATGTTTATATGAAAGGTGCTTTAAAAATATATGCTTCCTGACTCAAAAATGGTAAGGAGAAGGAACTGATATAAACTATGTATAAGGACTATGTTATGTAAAATTAGAAAACTTACATAAATAATAGTTAATCTTTTCATGAATAATCAAAATTAAAAACAATAAAAATTAAAATAATTGTGCCACTCACAATATATCTAAAGTTTCAGAACATGTTAGGACCTGGATTTAAATGCAACCCATTTAACAATAAGTTAGGGTATTTTCTCACATACTTGTTAACTGATCAACTTAATTAACTGGAAGATTAAAGGAGATGAAGAAGGAAAAATATTCTGGATTTTGGAGAGAAATAAATCAGCAATGGCATTCAATAGAAACAATTTCTAAAGGGGATGGACATTTAAAATGTGAATGTATACTGATTAACACAATAAACTTTAGGGAACTAATGATTGTGACATCAGAGTAAACAGTGATCCTGAAAATAAAATCTTATTGGAGATAATAAGGTTTTTGCCATGTCTACAATCTTGCATGCAGTTTAGTGTAGGCAGTGAGGTGGAGGGGTCCATTTGGATATCCACAGCAAACATTTCTTCAGTCTCTGTTTTACAGTTCATGCTACAGGTATAGTTTGCACCATCTAAAATAATTAAATTATTTATTCTTTAAAAAAAGCATTTTTATGTTGATTGTTACTTCT